AAAGTCGACTCGACCATTCACAATTATAGCAGACTGGAGCGCTCGTTGGCGGACTACATGAACTCTCAGAGGGCGCTGGGAATCGAACCGGACGATGCCGACTTGCAACGACAAGCTCGTATCATTATCTACGAGTTTGACGACGGCTGGAACCAGACTGCTGCCGATAACCTGGAGTGGTTGTCTGCTTTCAAACAGCGCCATCAGTTCAGTCCCTCTGCCTCTGGCTCGAGCTGGACTACCTCTCCGGAGGCTCAGTTGGCTGTAGGAGGAATTCAGCTCTCCGTCTCGGAGACATCGCCATCCCATATTTCCACCGGCAACGCTGCTTCCAGCCTCATCTGCCCGCAAATGGCGGACCCGGCCATAGGAAGTTACGCTGGCTCCAACTCCAACAATTCCTCCTATGTTAAGACCGGCCCCTTCTTCTTGAACGACGCAAACTGCTACCGACGTCTTGCCCGAGAACTCGGTCGTTGGGTTGCAGCCACCATGTCCCCAAACAACCCGAGCTCCCACGTCCCCACCGACGCGGAGATTCAACACCAAGCTCGTTGGATTCTATACGACGAGTAAGTATTTTCACACAGTCTCCTGAACATTTGATGCTGACCACAATCCAGTGACGACCCATGGAACCAAACCGCAGCCGACAACGCAGAATGGTTGCAACGCTTCAAGCGTGACGCCGGCATCACAAAGGACCCCGGACCAGGTCTCCCTCCTGGCGACTCCTGGTCCCTGTCACAAGGCGGCACCGGCTTCGCGCCTCCGTATGCCTTCCCCAAGGGCAACATGGCTCCCTTCGCCGACAAGTCGGCCAACGTCCCCATCCGGGACGCGCGCATGTTCGACACGGATTCGGCCATCCTCAACAAATACCTCGAGACGTTCAAGACCCGCTACGCGAAGCCGGCGACCATTTTCTGCGCCCGCGAGCTGGAGGACGGTCTCGTCCGCTTCGTTGAGACGGAGTTCGCTATCACGGGCACTTTCCCCAGCGACGACGCCCTCCGCGCGCAGGCCAGGCTTATCCTCAAGCAGCCTACGACTGCGGCCGATGACCAGGTCTTGTTGGACAAATTCAAGGGCTGGGTGTCGACGAAACAGTCTGAGCAACAACAGCAGCAGCCGCAGCTATCGGCCTCGTCCTCCACCGCTGCCTTACCCTCTGGCATGGACTTGACCATCTCCGACGCGGAAATGAACAACATCCTGCAGGAGATGAATCTGGATTTCAGCGCGACGGACCTAGCAAGTCTTGAGATGAGCATGGGGATGGACTTGGGCGGCGGTGCGCCTCTTGGTGGGGGCCCTTCTAGTTGATCAATTCTGATGCATCACTGAGGCGCCAAATAACGAAGACTTGAACGACTATTTCATATACAGATACACAGGATACGGGGATGGATTACTGGGTAAAGAGAAAATCAAAAGTTACGGCCGGCTCAACGAGCTATCAAAAAGATGGACTGGAATAGAGGGCGGTGATGAGGAGCTTGTCAAACGTATCAGCTCGTATACCCAATGGAAAACTTAATGAAATTATACTTAGACAATCGCCATTATGCGCGCTCACTCGTCAGTTTCTCTACAGTACACCGCGTAGTACATGAAATCATGTGTCATGGATGGATTGTCGGGTCTTCCGGATCCGGAAAGCCTATGAAGGCTATCATGGACGGCGAAGAGTTATTTCTTGGACAGCTGCCAACGTCTGAATCAATTGAAGGAAAAGCCGCGGCAAGAGGCTTATGCAAAATTGCCCTCCATCGTGAAGGATTGAATGAGACGACCTCTGGATATTCCCAGAGCAGCAAGGCTTTCTTTCTACTGACTGACGCTAGGCCTGTCCCGGCACTGTGAGGAGGAACGTCGAATTGAGAAAATGTTAGCGAGAACCTGGTTCTACACGGCGGAGCGCGTTTCGGCGCGTACTCCTTATCCGTTATGCTTACACAGTCAACATAACGCTACCTTTGACACAGTGTAATACTCCAGCCAGTTAACGAACATGCTTAAATAACATGCCGCCGAGACGATGTCAGAGGTCTAACCCGTCGAAATGATACGGAATTGGCCATTGAGGAGCACAGCAAGGATCCGATCTTTTTTGCCGTTTCGATACTGCCGCATCGCACATAGTACTACATCAAGGGCCAATCGTTGTGAAGAAGACCATGGCAGACACGGCTAGCTCCACCACGACATACAACAGGCCCAGGACCCGGCAGAGGGTTCACAAGGCCCCTCCGTCCTTGCAAGTACCAGATATTGAAGAGGACGCCTCCGAACGGAAAAGAGTCCTCAACGTATTGGCTCAGAGAAGATACAGTAAGCTCACCGTTCCTCGCTTCTTCTTGGGTGCGCGCGCCTCACGAGCACGTTTGCCCTGTGCGTCTGGGCACGTGTGGCTGATCTGGAACAGGGGAGCGTAAGAGACAAACCCGTCTCGCGAAGCAGAAGCAAGGGAGCGGCTCAGAAGCTCAACTGGTCGAGACAGTTGCTGACCGCCCTGCCGCTCCTCGTCTCCAAGACGTTGCCAGCCCGATTGTTCAGGCTGCAGACGAATTTCTGCCCCTCAGAGGTGGTGCAGGGGACGCTAATGCGGCGGCGTTTGGTCTGGACGCGGCTGCGGCCTGGGACGGCGATCTGTCGGATGTGACTGACATGCCGGACAACTTCATGTTTGGCACAATGACTCCGACGATGCTGGATCAGGGGCTGGGAGGCGACGTGGCGGTGACAGCTTCGTTCAGCTCGGCGTCTACCATCGACCCAGCATCTCTCATGAGCAGATCGGCGTCGTCCATGTCTTCGCCTCCCACCTCGCCCGACTTTCCCGACAGCTACCTGCTACCAATGAGTGACCTCAAGGTACTGAAAGGGCTTCTTCGGATCGCGACCAGGCTCGGATCCTACTCGGTAATGTGGGACCCTGCGGCCAACTCGCCGTTCAACCAGGGAGCTGGTACGCCGGCCGAGCTGCTCCCCAAGACGTGGAGACCAACGGCAACGCAAGCTCTTGTGCCCCATCATCCGATCATGGACTTCCTGCCGTGGCCGGGGGTGCGGGACCGCATCATTGACTTGTTCAGTCTACCCGACGCGGCACGGCCACCTGCAGCCCGGGGCCCGCTTGGGCTGGTGAACTTTGCTTACGACCTGGAGGATTCATGTGAGGGAGCGCGTATCTGGGGGGCCGACCCATACGATGCAACGAGTTGGGAAGTCGGCCAGGCACTTTTCCAGAGGTGGTGGTTTGTCTTTGATAGAGCTGTTATAGACCAGAGTAACAAGTGGCGACGGTTGAGAGGCGCCGCGGCTTTGCAGCTGCAGACCGGAAGTGTGGCAGAAGAGGTGTCTGATGGCAGTTGAGCGATTTGTGTGTGATAGACCTACAATAGTTTACCTGTCTCAAACCATGTGATCTTTCAGCTGCTTCGCTACTTAGCTTGTTGGACGGAAAACGCGGTGCTTGCGATACTGCCGCGGCTGGCTTTGGAGTGGTTGCCACACTTCTTTTTCACGGAAGCCAGGCAACAACAACTTCACCGCATGAAGTAGAAAAGGCAAGCCGTCCAGTCCAGGACAAGAAGCCGTAGCCGGAGAATGGTTAGCAGCGCGACATGCAGCACGCAGGTAGGCGGGCTAGTGCATGTAGTTGTGGGTTGAGAGGAGCACGGGAGGAGCTCATTGGCCTTGATCGGAAGCGAGCGTGGGAGTGGGTGATCGGTTGAATGCAACTCGAAACTTGTAAAGGCAGAGTGTCTCGGAGTGAGAAACCAAAATTCCCTGTGTCTTTTGGTTGTTTCGAGAAACGCCGGGTTAGGTTGGGCTGGCGTGCGCTGAACTGGAGTCCTGGATTTGGGTGCGGGATTTCGGTGCTGAAGCCCTTTTTGCGTGTCGGATTCGGAAGCGCAGAGGGCTCGGGGAAGTCGGCCGTCATGGAACGGAGGTTGGGGTGGCCGATGTATCAAGAGGGCTCCCGATGGCCAACCTTATTGAGAGAAGCATGAAGATAAATCCCATGGTGTCTGTGACAACGTTTTGTTTAACACGTCACGCAAGCGACCGACTGACAGTTGCAGCCGCGGGATTGTCCCACGAGCCAGGGATGAGTTGCCCAACAACCTTTGCGGCGACTTTTATAGTTGGTTTGACAAACGTGGAGGTTGTGCTACTCAGGGCGCCGGTTTCTGTCCGTCTGAGGATTGCGTGCTTCTGGTGTTGTCGATTTTGAAGTGGTCTCAGCGCCGTTCCCCGGACGGTAAGTTGTAATGCTTGAATGCGTACAGCAGTTACATACGCTGTAAACAGCCAATTGCAGGAGCCGTTCGCCCCCATCACCCATGAACATGTGTCATTGATAGGAGAAACAGAAACAGAGACGGGGAATGGAGGACAAGGGAAGAAAAAGAGAAAAGCGGGTATCTGGAGCTGAACAAAACGGAGACTTCCAGTTTGTTGGAGAGAAAACACTGACCGGAGGCTGGAGGTGGCCGACGACCGCTCCGTGCACAGCGACCCTGGTCCCTGTTTCCTGACTCCAAGGTTTCGGGGGCAAGAGAACGTGGCGTCATTGGCGGAAGGCTTGGACGGAGGGACCTGCCTCAACTGCCTCAACCGGGTCTGGCGGTGAAGCAGCGTACTCTACATACTGAGGCGGTCACCGCCTGCCCATAGTTCCTGTTTCCAGCGTTTCTGCCGCACATCCCGCAGGAAGGTACGCGACTAGGGATCCATGATGGAGGGGTAAGATACGTACCGAGGGGAACCTTAGGTGCGCTACGTACTCGCAGCGCTGCAATTAATCGCCAAAGCGGGGCATCGACCCTCCATCTTCGGAGCTCAGCAACGTCGTGGTACCTAAGGTAGGTTGGTTCCAGCAGAGACGCAGCGTTCCTACCTACTTGCTACCTCAGGTACCTCGCGGCACCCTTACCCACGCTTCGCTGTTAGTGGCCGCTGCCGCTCGTAGTGGGGGTGCAAGCGGGAAAATGGTGGGTGGTTGTGCTGTGCCACTGGCTCTGCGCTTCACTCCCAGGCTCTGGGACTCTTTCCCCCAAATTTTCCAACTTCTCTCCATCTCCAAACCTTCTGCCAGACGTCCTGATCCTTTGAGTTGCCTTGGAGTTTTGGACTGTGCCTTCTTGCAGATCCAGGGATCGGTGCCAGGAGAGAAATTCACACGTCTATTCCGAAGAGATTGTCTAGTAAGCATTCACCCCTAGCTTGATTCTGTCTCGCTGGCTTCGCCCTCCTGCCATGCATCCCTCAACACGCCTTTTAACCCCTCGAACATTCCGTCCCTGCAGCCAATCTCTCCACCCCGCCTCCCATGTTCTCCCTTCCATCTGGTCTTCACACCACGTCTAAATAGCCTCAATTTCATCCTACACCTTGTCGGTCGTCTGCGCGTGTTGCTTGCCATTCAATTGGATCTAACGTCTTCTCTTCGCAGCACCCCACGAACCTAGAGAGCCCTCTGGCGGCCGTCATTATCCTCTTCTGCTTCTGATCCACCCTTCACATATCACTTCAGTACCACAGTCAACATGCACATCAAGGCTATGCTCGACGAGACCCGGAGGACGGGTGAGCCCTCCTTCTCATTCGAGTACTTCCCCCCGAAGACCGCCCAGGGTGTTCAGAACCTGTACGACCGTATGGAGCGCATGTACCACTTTGGCCCCAAGTTCATCGACATCACATGGGGTGCCGGCGGCCGCATCGCTGAGCTGACCTGCGAGATGGTCCTCCAGGCCCAGTCTATCTACGGCCTCGAGACTTGCATGCACCTGACATGTACGGACATGGGCCTGGAGAAGGTCAATGACGCTCTGCGCAAGGCTTACAAGGCTGGCTGCACCAACATCCTGGCCCTCCGTGGTGATCCCCCAAGAGAACACGAGAAGTGGGAGGCTACCGACGACGGTTTCCGCTACGCAAAGGATCTCGTGAAGCACATCCGGGCCACCTACCATGATCATTTCGACATCGGCGTTGCTGGTTACCCTGAGGGCTGTGACGACAACAAGGACGAGGAGCAGTTGCTGGACCACTTGAAGGAGAAGGTCGACATGGGCGCCAGCTTTATTGTCACCCAGATGTTCTACGACGCCGACAACTTCATCCGATGGGTTGGCAAGGTGCGCGAACGCGGCATCACCATTCCCATCATCCCTGGCATCATGCCGATTGCCACCTACGCCAGTTTCCTTCGCCGCGCCAAGCACATGAACTGCCGGGTTCCTGACGACTGGATGGCGGCTTTGGAGCCTGTCAAGAACGACGATGTGGCTGTACGTGAGATTGGTAAAGGCCTCGTGGCAAACATGTGCCGGAAGATTATTGCCGCGGGTATTCATCACTTGCACTTTTACACCATGAACCTTGCACAGGCCACGAGAATGGTGCTTGAAGAGCTTGACTACATGCCCTCTTCTGAACGCCCTCTGAAGCACGCTCTCCCCTGGAAGCAGTCGCTAGGTCTCGGCCGTAGGGAGGAGGACGTGCGGCCCATTTTCTGGAAGGGCCGCAATAAGTCCTATGTGCTGCGCACGCAGGACTGGGACGAGTTCCCCAACGGTCGCTGGGGTGACTCTCGCTCGCCTGCCTTCGGTGAGCTGGATGCCTATGGCATCGGACTGACAGGTACCAATGAGCAGAACCGCAAGAAGTGGGGCGAGCCCAAGTCAATCAAGGACGTTGCCAACATCTTCGTCCGCTACCTCGAAACCGAAATTGACAATCTCCCTTGGAGTGAGGCTCCTCTGACCAGCGAAGCCGACGGTATTAGGGAGGAGCTCATTGGCCTCAATAAGCGTGGCTTACTCACAATCAACTCGCAGCCTGCAGTCGACGGCGTGAAGTCATCTCACCCGGTTCACGGCTGGGGTCCGCCGAACGGTTACGTCTACCAAAAGGCTTACCTTGAACTCCTGGTTCACCCCGACTTGTTCCCGGAGATCGTCGCTCGCATTGAGAAGAACCCCGACATGACGTATTACGCCACTACCAAGAACGGTGCTCTTACATACAACGCGTCTAGCGACAGCCCTAACGCTGTCACCTGGGGTGTGTTCCCAGGCAAGGAGATTGTGCAACCAACCATCGTCGAGGGCATCAGCTTCATGGCATGGAAGGACGAGGCCTTCCGTCTTGGTACCGACTGGGCTCGCTGCTTTGAGGCCGGAACTCCCAGCAGAGTACTGATCGATCGTATCATGAACGAATGGTACCTGATCAACATCGGTTAGTTTGAATGACTTTGAAAACATGTGTTAGATTAAGCTGACTTTGCTCTCCAGTCAACAACGACTTCCACCAGAAGACTGCTCTGTTCGACTTGCTGGATGGTCTTTCCGTCCAGGAATACACCGATATCCCTTCTGAACCCAAGGCGAATGGGGAGACGGAACTGCAAAACGGCACCACAGGTGCTGCTATCACCGCTTAGGTGACATTTGATTCTTGTTCAACTTACTCAACCCCCCTAACAAAAAATTTTAAGTATGCATCATGAACGGCGTTTTCAACAGGTCAAGGATGGAAAAAAAGGGGGCTCAACTTGTGTTTTTTCAACAAAAAGACACTCATACCGAATTCGTCAGGCGATGAATTCAAACCTCACATCACAGCACAAAAGCCTCGGAGAAGGGAGAGCGGAACGGAATTGGAAGGAGCATGCATACAATCTCAACGATACCCCCAACGGACTATGAAGGTTTTTTTTTCCCCAAACGAAAAAAAGAAGTCTTGGAAGCTACGACAAGAGCTAGGAGTTTCAACACGGGTCTGTTTTATATACAAAGATGAAATTTTTCTTCTACTTGGTTTATTTCACGTTTAATAGCACCTCGCATGCTATGAAATGCGAAGAGACGACGGCGAGAGGGCGGAGGAGGATTGAGAGAAGGGAGTTGAAGTGACGGGGATGACTGGCTGACTAGAACGTGGCCTGTCCATTTAGTATTCTTGCTACAAAGCCGAATCAACTTGGGCTAGACTGTTTGCCCCCACACTCACTGCTATCTTGACGACTGCTTGATATGAACAATCGAGAATGTTCCAAAACTGATGGGTGGACACAAGTCAGATCTGATCCACCTGGCAAGGCCCAGAATATCGCGTGCTTTACAAGTCAAAAATTGAAATTGCTAATCTGCCGCTGTCTTTCCGTATCTACTTGTTCGTGCCTACCTCGATGAGACCGTCTCACCACGCACGAACCTCGAGAGCAAACTTGGAGTTCGCCATTCCCCTTTCCTAGAAATTCCCTGCCAAATACGTCACCCCCTCCACCCCTGCACTTTATACTGCAGTGCCATGATTGATCGCCCCGGTCTCCTCGCCTTCAGTTCCCTTGCAGTCGCATGCAAACCTCTTCTTGTACTCATCAACAGACAGGCCATCCAACTCAGCAAGCGCCCGCTCTGCACCTCGAACCTTTGCGTATCGTCCGCTCTCCGCCGTAGTGTGGTATCGAACCTCTCTATGGATAATGATCCCACAGAGCACATTGGTGCCGGTAAGAACGCGAGCCCCTTCTCCTGCCGGGGGTGCAACCTCGGTCGTCATGATTCGGTACTCTGTGCACTTGAACTCCTTCTCCATCAAGTGGCTAAGTCTCGTAACGGGATGCTTCTTGGCGAATGAGTCGTAGAGCGACATGTCAGTGAAGAACGGTCGGATGTGTTTGTCAAAGAACTTGCGGACCTCGTTGTAGTCGTAGCCCGAGTCGACAAAGACGGCACCAACGTAAGCCTCCAGCACGTCGGAAAGGTATTTGGGCGAGTGCTTGACGTTGATCCAATAGTCTTGAGAAAACATTCCCGACTCGGACGACTCGGCCTCAGATTCCGCCTCTGCCATTGCCAGGTTGAGCGAGGACACGTACTCTTCCTTTTGGCTCAGCATCGCGGATGTACCCACCAAGATATGCTTGTGAAGGCCAAGCTTCACAGACAGGCTGGCGAGGAATTGATTGCTGACCATGGCCATCTTGTGCTCTGTGAGCCACTGCGGGTCTGCGTTGGGGAATTTGTTGAAGAGAAAATCGACGCAGACCATGTCAAGAAGCGCGTCACCCAAGAACTCCAAACGCTGGTAGTCTGGCAAGCTCTCGTATGCTCTGGGATACGAAGGATGATGGAAAGCACTGCGGAGTAGAGCAGGCGATTTGAACTTATATCCCATCGACTCCTCGACTTGCTGAGCCATGTCGCGCTGGATTGGGGTTGGCTTTCGGAACTGCCATTCAGGATGCCGATACCCAGCGAAGTAGTCACCCCAGGAGGTCATCCGATGGGTCTTCTCCTTGACCATGGCGGTCACGGCACGAATGGCCATGTCGTAATTGTCAGAGTCTGCGTATGAAAGGTAGGCGGCGCCGATGAGAGCCTCGCAGACATCAGCGATAGACTTGTCCGCCAGAGCGTGCTTGTTCGCAGGCTGACCCTGTTTGCCCCTCATCAATTTCAACCCCTGGGGGTACCAGCTGCGGCGGTCGAAGCTCTGAGACCGCACGTATTCTTGAAGGCCTCTATCAACTGCCTTGTTGAAAAGATTCTGATTACAGATGAGGAGCATGCGCTGGACGTGGTATTGGAACTCGTCATCGTCAGGCTTGGATGTGAAGATGGCGATCGTCGTGGCCATCTTCAAGAAACAGTCACCAAGAAACTCCAACCGTTCGTAGTTCTTGCCCATGCCGCTCTGAAAGTTGATCTTTTCCTGGTCATGCTCGTCGCTGTTGTCGGAATCCTTCGTCATGGCTTCGAGTGCCAGGTCCGGGCGAATGGTGAGGTTCAAGTGCTTGCAGGCATCGAGAGCGATCATGACAGAGTCCATGCGATGGATAATGGCCGGGAAAGCAAATGCCAGAACTACTGTCTCAATTGGAAGCTGCGATTGTTAGTCAAATCCCTACATATTATGGTAGTCGAGCACTTACAGTTGACACTCTCATAGGCTGCAAAATGACATAGCATATTCTGGATTCCTCGGTCGTGGTCTCAATGAAATCGTCAAGGAGATTTCGTCTCAGCGAGACAACTTCGGCTTCGACGACGGGCTGGTCTTGACGCCACGTGAACTTCTTGCGGCTTTTCGCCCAGAGACTGACGCTGTATTCGGTAATGTTCTTCTCGACGTTGGCGTCTCGCCATGATCTGTGGCCAGGGTCTGGGACTCCGTCGGGAACCATGTCCAAGGGCTTCATATCTTTTCGAACACCACGCAAGTACAACTTGCGAGATCCTGCATAGGGATCGGTGACGAGCTTGTCTCTGAAGAAATCATCTGGCGTGGTTGCGTCCCAGTTCAAAAATTCCTTGCCCTGCGTGGAGCGAAGATGCTCCCAGTCAATCAACGAAGCTGGATCGTCGACTTCAGAAAGCTTTGCCGAGTGATAGACTGTGGCAGGGGCAAGAAAGTACGGCACGTCAGTAATTGGGGCCTCGAACTGCTTGCTGAAGACATCTTTGAAAATGCGTAAGGTAAACTCTTTCAGGGCTT